GCTCCTGCTGAGTAGACTGCAATAATTCGTTGGGGGGGGGACACTACATAAAACGATATATAAAGGTTAATGTTATGTTATTTTCTCATAGCAACTTATAGATTATAAGGTGAACTAAGCTACATACATTTCTAACATCAAAAATACGTTCACAATCAGCAGCGTATAAATGCCTCATCGCAGGGTATACACCCAAGGGATAACACCTGATATATGGGAACCATCTATACTACTGTTGGGAAATGTCTCCATGATCCAAATCTACAAAATTAAGATGTCAACCAAGTTACCAACATTTTATAATACTTGTTTTTTTAAAAACTATTATGAAACATAGTCGAAATACCTTAAAAGCATAGACAAATCCTTGCACAGTATATGTATGTCTACTGCCGACTCTTGCCTCCGTGGGGTTCAAATGCTCCTCAATCTTATCAAAGACAGTACATAGTTGTGTGTAAGTGAATTCCCATATCACTCTGCCCCATGGGTACCTATGTCAGCAATTGCACTTAATAAGTATGTGTATAATTTGATCTAATCTAACTAAATAACTGTATACTTGTTACACTCGTCTAAATTAGACACGATTGCTAGACGATTATTAGTAACCAACTGTCGAAGGCATTTCCCTAAAATTCGTTTCTTTAGCATATACAACAGGGAGACTCTCACTGCGTCTGCATTACCAAATTCATGAAGTAAGTCATTGAATACATGCATAAGGTTAGCCATTCTTACCACACGTGAAGGCAATATAAATGGAAATACATGTTATCTGAGCTGTGCAAAATAAAAAACTGGGGGGAAATAGTCCTCAAACCGTGTCACACCCCCGAACCAGACGACGGAAACGTCTGGGGGATTGCGCGTGACTTCATCCTTGTAGTATCATCACTAAGTATATAATTGAAACACAACATCATCATCACCACACATGTAATATTAAAACGTACATTGTTTACATCGAGTATTGTGTTTGAATATTACATGCCAACATAATTATAATCTGATGAAATAGAAATATAACAAAACATTCATTAGTTTGTTCATCCCAACCTGCTTCAACGGTTTCCTGAGAATACAAGTTAATTTAAAAAGGTCAACATAAATATGTTGATGAATTCATAAGCATGTTTGAGAAAATGATTTGTATAACTTTGCAATCACAATAAAATCCTATATTTTCTTAAAATAGTTTAGTATGTTTATGCCCGATCTTGTATTAATGCATGTGCGTTGTTGTTTAATAGAATGTCAAAAGTGAATGAAGAGAATGTAAATAGAATGCCCCCAAACAACCCTATGTTGCCTGTAAAAGAAGAAAAAGAATAGCCTCCCGTATATTTCATAATGTTAATTCCTCTAAGTGAACCGTCATAACCATACTAATTAATGACAATTTTGCCTGTCTTGGCGTTTGTGAACGCCGACAGAAAATAGAATAAGGTTTTTGTCACCCATAGACTGATGTAGTCTAACTGTAGCGAACAGCTCATGTGTGGGGTGTCATCCCCGTATAGATCTATACACAAACCCCGCTCTCCCTCCAAGAAACTTTGGTTATAACTACAAGCTACGATCATACACTCAATAGGTGTCAACCGACACGTCTCACTAGATCCTTAATTGAATTTACGCGAAGAGAAACATATAAAACTCATTCCAGGCCCAATGAACCATGTAAGTGAACCACTAAGGCTCACAAAACATGTAAGTCATTTCCAGGCCGATAGGAATGATATTATATAACATGGGCCCAAAATATATGTAAAAGGACAACTAAGGCCCATTTCACATTTAAGGTATTTACAGGCCCAAATAGCACGAAATTAGTATCCAAGGTTTGTTGTGCACGTTAATGGGTCAATGAGGCCCAATAAACGTATAAATAGTATTCAGGACCTATCAAGCATATTAATGGGCCACTAAGGCCCAATATTATACGAATGACAAAATTAGTCAGTTTGTTATTTTTATTGCTAGTATTAGTTCAATTATTCACCAAAATGGCATAAAAGGCCCACTTTTTGTAAAAATGACATTCTTGGCTCATTAAGCCAAGAATTTACAATTATGGCCCAACTTTGGTAATAATTACATTTTTGGCCCCTTTTGGACAAAAACTTGTATTTAAGGCTAGTTTTTTTTTGTAAAAATAACATTTTTAACTCACTTTTGTCAAAAATATCATTTTTGACTTGATTTTTACAAAAATATACATATTCGGCCCATTATAAAATTTTTTATCTTTTTGGCCCAGATCACTATATTTTTGCAACTCTAACCATTATTATCAAAAATTTACCTTTTTGGCACAACTTTCTTGAAAATGACATTTAAGCCCATAAAAGGCTAAAATTTACCATTTTTGGGCCTAAAACCGTGAGGAGCCCAAATGAAGCCCATTTATGAAAATGTTTACATTTTTAGTCCTTGAAAGGTCTCAAATCTCGAGATTAGCCTTTGTTTAGCAAAAATTTCCTTTTTAGCCCCTTACTAGCCGTGAGTTACATAAATAGCTCATACTTTTGTCATTTTGTCGATTTTAGCCCCTTTCATAAAGTTTTTCTTAGCTTCAAGTAATTTAGGTGTATTTAAAACCTTTTTCCTGTAAGATGAGTTGAAATAAGTGTTATGTCATACCAATATCATCATCTTTTAGTAGATCTTTAAGTTCATGAAGTTTTTTACGACATAAAGAAATATATAACTAGAAAAACACACAAAATCATGCATACACACATAGATCTACACAAAACAACTTGTATTCACCCCTAAAACAAAGCAAGAATCAAAAATAGGGGGTATGAACTCACTTTGCTTTGAAGTTTTCGGTTTTTGGTGAGGGAATGAGAAGATCTCGGCCCTAGCAAGCTTCTTGAGAAGGTTTTTGAACTTAGGAGGTTCTAGGAAACTTGATTCACGAAAAACATGTATGTAAGAAGAGTGATTTAGTTTAAAAGGAAGTATATCAACTTGAGTTTGTAAGGTCTTACCACAATGTGAAGCTTGAAGTGATCTTCTTTGAAAACCCACCTAATACTCACGATTTTTCTTGAGAGAAGAAGAGTGGATGAGTGTTGAAAGTTGAGAGAAATTATGTTGAGTTTGAAATGGTGGTGAGGTTGGAGAGTGAGAGAGAGGCCGAGCGTTAGAGAGAGATAAGAGAGAGGAGAAAGGTTGACTTTTGAAGAGTATGATGTGAGAGTTGTATGGATACATGCACTCTTACATGGATATCCACCAAGTATTGATGAGGTGTCACCCCATTTCCCTCTTATTTGTTTTTCCCTTTTTTTTCTTTTGTTGTTGGGCCGAGAATGTGGAAAAGAAGAGAGAGGATGAATGAGTTTGGGCCCTTTCTTGGTTTAGTTTGAATTTATGAGGCCCAAGATGAAGATTTTTCGGCCCATTGGGCCCTTATGAGGGTTCACAGCCCAATGAAGCCCATGAATATAGTTTACGGCCTATTAGGGCTTGTGAAACCATTCACGGCTCATCATGGCCCATTAGGGATAAAATGAATTATTCTAGGCCCACATGACCCAAAATACCCTAGTTTCATGGATGTGGGTCCAATTAGAGCCCAATTTGGGTTTCTTGGCCCAAAATAGCCAAATTGAAAGTTTACTGGTCCATTAGGCCCAATAAGAGGATCCTAGTCTATAATAAACTTGAACCGGGATTTTTAGGGTTTTCAACCCATAGTTGAATGTATGAGATGTATTGCGTTAGGTTTTGAACTTAAATCAGGAGTTTGGATTCGAATGATGATTTCATTTTGGTATATAACATGATATTCACTTAGAGTATAAGTTTTACAATAGCTGATGTTTACATGAAAACAGAATTTCCTAGCTAAAATGCTAGTTGTGACAAACCGCAAGCCGGTAATCAGGCATAAAGCTTTCATGTCGAAGCAAACCCGATAGTCGTGTACCAGAAATAGAAGCTCATGTATGTCAATTAGAGGTAAAGTAGTGTATTCATTGCACATAAGATAGTGACAAAGTAAATGGTAACATTCTACACCCATCGACAAGTGAGCATATCACCAAAACATGATTGCCTAAACATGGTCGCACAAACTTGTATCTATTGTAACTGGGCATGATTTCCTGACCGAGTTCAGGCCTATAGGTTTTAGTCATAACTGCTTTGTATGTTCTGTCATGCTACAATCAAAAGAATCATTAATTAGGCAATTTAGTATGTATGTTCCGAAGGATAATTCCAGAATACACAATTCTGGAGCACATATCCGGATCAAAATTCCGGAACCCATTTCTGGATACGGACTCTGGATAATAACATTTCAGATCCATATTCGAAAACTATACCTCGGATTCCGGACTAGTTCTTAATATTCCGAAGGTGTTATATAGATTCTGGATTCGTTCCAGACGAGTCAAAATGAGGATATTTGTAAGATTTTTCGATATAGCATACATATAACTAAATGTAATCCTATAATTCCTTTTAAACCACTAAAAATCACATAAAAACAAATAAAACCTATATAATTGCATAAATTATATAGGTGTTAACATACAATCTGTAGTAAAGACATATCACATATGTTTATAAATTTAATATAAAAGTTATACTCTTCACCGCTAGAAAAAGACATTTGAGAATTACTGAGTTCTAAACGGTCTTCGGAATGTAGGTTATAGCAGTTTGAAACGGTCTTCGAAATATATGTTCGAGAAGTGGCGTCCAAATGAACTCCGAAACAATATTTATAGGGGGGCCACAAAACTAGGTCGGATCCTATAACTGTTACCATTTCCTAAAAATAGGTCTGGAATGAGCTGTTCCGGTCATGTAGTAATTTTTCAAAATAATAATAATAATTTTTAAAATAACATTGAAAAATGATTAGATTACTTAATTTCCTTAAAATAAAATTCCTAGAAAAGGACAGTAAACTTTATTTTGGCACGGAAGCTATTGTATTCAAACCTTAGCCAAACTTGATTTTGGCACGGTTTTCTACCTAACCAATACATGTATCCACCCTCTACCTACTCCATCTAATTGAGCACGCACGCCCCTCTCTTCTTCCATATTTAACTTATAAAATCAAACTTTTCACCTTCACACTTCAGAAATACACACAACACGCAGATGAAGATAATGGGGTTACTATTCATCCTCGTCCTCTTAGCTTCCTCAACCAACTTCATCGCCTACTCTCAGACCATCGTCGAAACCTTACCTGGATTCCCTGGTCCTCTTCCATTCAAACTCGAAACTGGGTATATATGCCTCTCTCTCTCTCTCTTGATCTTCACATAAACACACAGAGAAATATAAGATGCATGTATACACAGTCTCCGGGAAGCTTTTCGTTCATGGTTATGTATGTTTCCATTGATTCAGGTACATTGGAGTCGGAGAAGATGAAGCTGTGCAGCTGTTTTACTACTTTGTGGAGTCGGAAGGGAACCCTGAGGAGGATCCACTCATTATCTGGCTTGCCGGTGGACCTGGCTGTGGCACCCTCCGTGCTTTCTTTTTTGAAATCGGTAACTACCACTATCCCTTTTACGGTTTTACCCCACACCCCCTTTTTTATATAAATATAAATATATTATTGTTAACTTTTTTCTTGGTAAATGTAAAAGCATTCTCGAGGTGATGAGCAATATAATTGATAAAATGTCATAAAAATATATAAATATAGTAGTGACAATTTACGTACTTTGACATTGAAGTCTTGTAAAAATAGTTCGGTCATATGTATTGCATGATACTTTTATTGACAAAAAGTTTCAAAAAGAGCATGGTTATAAAAACAAACTTAAACTTATATTTGTAGGTCATTAAGGATAACACTTACGTATATTTTTAAAACATATCCTCTATTGTGCTACTTCTAAATCTTACAATCATGGAACATTGACCAAACGATTCACTAATATAAAACCATACTTCAAATATATTTAATGATTGTTATCTACCATATAATGTCTAAATTGTGTGAATAGGTTGATGTGACATACGCGCTTGTATTTTCAAAATAACTTTATATATTATTGTTGTTATTATAAATTTTTAAAAAGTAAATTAAATTCATATGGAAGCTTTCACGGTCAAAACACTACCAACCCCCAAAATATCGAAGGCTAATTTAAATATTTAGACTTGTTTGGAAAAAATTGCCGTTCCGTGCTAAATGATTTTAATATCTTAATCATTCGGTGCTGAATGATTTCAATATCTTTATCATTCATATAAGGTATGGTTTATTAAACAGTTCAATGGATTTTAATTTTTCTAAAGCCTTATTAAGTATGTTGAATGTAGACCGATTCAAAGATGATATATATTAGCAAACAACGGCTTAGTATTATTATTTTTTAAATAAAAATAAACTTATAAGAACTTATGGTTTACTCTCTTAAGAATGGGTAAAGATCATGCCCACCATTAAAACTAACAAGCGGAAATTTTATTTTAATATATATATATATATAGATATATATATATATATATATATATATATATATATATATATATATATATATATATATATATATATATATATATATATACCATGCTGGACCCAAAGTTATTTTATGTACTTTTTGCATCCTAGTATGACAAGAGCCTATGCATATGTTGGTTTCGCTTTCACGTTTCAGCTTGCACCCATAACGGATTCTGGACTTTGGGTCCAGCATGGTATTTTTATTTTGAGATAACTTGGGTCCCACCATTACAAATTGAATATAATTCTCTATTCTCTATTTTTTATATTAAATATTATTATTTAATTAATTACATTACTGAAAAATAATTAAGGGTGTCTCCTATGCAAGTTTTTATAACAAAATAGTATTTTGTTGACCTGTTATCACCATTTATTTTTATTGGAGATGATAATTTATTTTATTGATCATTTAATAACATATATTAAATGATCAGCGAAGTTATATGCTTTGTATATCTAATCCTTATTCATTTAGTTCAATTTACATCTTCAATTATATTTTAGTTTTTAATTTTTATTTTTTTTATTAATTAACTACTGGAAAAACCCGGGCTGCGCCCCGGGCCGTTTTTTGTGTTTTCTATGAAAAAATGGAAAAATTTTGACTGTAAGGACCAACAGTGTCAAAATGGCTAAATAATTAAAGGGGTTGGAATTAGCAAGTTTTTAGAAAAGGGACCAAGTTGTCAATTCTTTAAAGTTTTGTAGCGAAACTTTGAATATTAAAAGGTTCCTAAAAATGTAAAAATTTTGATTAAAGGGACCAAAGTTGTCAACTGCTTAAAGTTTTGTGGCCAGACTTTGAATATTAAAAGGTTCCTAAAAAATGTAAAATTTTTTTGTATTTTTTATGAAAAAATGTAAAGCTTTTGACTGTAAGGACGAAAAGTGTCAAAATTGCTAAAAAATTAAAGCGGTTGGAATTAACAAATTTTTAGAAAAGGGACCAAAATTGTCAATTCTTTAAAGTTTTGTGGCCAAACCTTGAATATTAAAATGTTACTAAAAAATGAAAAAATTTTGATTGCAATGGCGAAAAGTGTCAAAATTGCTAAAAAGTAAATGGTAAAATTGACAAAAAAAACATACAACTTTACTATTCATTTGGGAACATTCAAGTTCAATACAGAACCATAATTATTGGTTCTTCAAGTAACCAAATCTTTTTTTCAATTTTCTAGAGCTTATTCTTTATCGAAAAAAAATCTAAAAATATCTAAATTCATATATTAACATTGTGAATGTGAAAAATAATTTTTCGGATTCACCGTGTGAATCCGGATTCACGTTGTGAATTTTCAAAGATTCACATTGTGAATTTGATGTAAAAAAAAAAATCGAATTTTATATCATTGAAAAAAGGATAAAAAGTTATGAATTTCTGTATTTTTAGTTTTTTTTTTGATAAAAAATAAGTTCTAAAAGTTGAAAAAAAGATTGGTTCCTTGGTTAATTATGGTTCTCTATTGAACCGCACCCTATATAAGGGTGCGGTTCAATAGAGAACCATAATTAACCAAGGAACCAATCTTTTTTTCAACTTTTAGAACTTATTTTTTATCAAAAAAAAAACTAAAAATACAGAAATTCATAACTTTTTATCCTTTTTTCAATGATATAAAATTCGATTTTTTTTTTTACATCAAATTCACAATGTGAATCTTTGAAAATTCACAACGTGAATCCGGATTCACACGGTGAATCCGAAAAATATTTTTCACATTCACAATGTTAATATATGAATTTAGATATTTTTAGATTTTTTTTCGATAAAAAATAAGCTCTACAAATTGAAAAAAAGATTTGTTTCCTTTAAGAACCAATAATTATGGTTCTCTATTGAACTTTTCCCTATATAGGGAAAAGTTCAATAGAGAACCATTATTAATCAAGGAACCAATCCAAAGCGTCGGAATTTAAAGCGATCAACGGCAAAAGGAAGGGTTGTAAAATTTTATAATGGACGCACATGTACCGGATTATAACAAAACTTACTTCCTTTTTTTCATTAAAAAAAAATTTTTAGGCCAAGTTTTTTATCGAAAAAAAAAACCGAATATACCGTTGTTCACGATTTTTCGTCCTCTTTCCATAGAGATCCATGATGATATATAAAAAACGAATTTTTTTTTCGAAAAAAACACACTTAATTATGGATTTTTTTTTGTAAAAAACATGGCCTAAAAAAATTTTAAACGAAAAAAAGTGGTGGGCTTTTTTGTAAAGGGTGGATTTTTTGGTATAATCCGGTGTGTGTGCGTCCAATGTAAAAGTGTACATCTATTTCCTTGGCGGTTGATCGTTATGATTTCCGACGCTCACGATTGGTTCCTTGGTTTCTTGGTTAATTATGGTTCTCTATTGAACCTCATCCATATATATATATATATATATATATATATATATATATATATATATATATATATATATATATATATATATTTAATAACATTTTATGTATGAATTATAAGTTCCTTTTTAAAGAATTATAAAGTAATAAATTTTCGTATTTTATATATAAATAAGGACCCGAAATAGTTTTATTTATGATTTCGTATGTACAACTACCTATAAGTTAAAAGCTTTATATAAAAGAGATACATTTATAAAATAAAAGTTTTATATGTTATACCATTATAATCTATAAAATCTATAGCATTGAAGATATTCCTATACAATTTAGTACTATATTTTCAATTTTTTTTTCTATTAGATTTTAGTATTATATTTTCATTTTTATTTGGTCAAGGTTAAGTTCTTCTTGTAAACATATTGTTTGTTATATCTGAATGTATATTTCAAACTAATTTTATTCGTTCCAAATAAATGTTTATTGAGCTCTGGGTTAATTTTTTATTGCTTTTTTTGTTTTACCATATCAGAATTTAATTAAAGTTATTAAACAAAAACCTAGTTTTTTAGAACTACTGGGATTTTATAAAGCTAGTGGGAGTGGAATCGATGAGTGTCAGGAGACCACCCACCGAAATGGTCTTAGCCTTTCACTTTCCTAGTTAAATTAATTATTATTAACCTTTAAAAAAACCCTCGACTCTTAATTAGTTGAACCTAGACACTTTTTTTTGTTTCAATATAAGTTTAGAATCAACAGAGCTAGAAAAAAACCACATTAAAAAATCTATTCATTGCATTTTAGACAGTAACCGAACACCATTTTCTCGAGTGTTATTAATTTGCGTATAATGTACTGAATTAATATATGTTTTTTTTAGGTCCCATGCAAATTCAGTATGGAAATTATATGGATAATGTCCCAGCGCTACAATTAGACCCGAATTCATGGTCAAAGGTAAGTCTACATGTTGGTCATCTGCCTAATTTTTGTAACTTGTTTTCGTATAAGTGTATAACACCTCTCATGTGATTAATTATCGTAATATCTTTCCGTATAAGAACTCTTATTAATTAAGTTGACAAATAATCTAATCTTCTTACAATAAAATCTCTTATCTTTTCAAAGGTGGCGAACGTGATATATTTGGATGCACCAACAATAACAGGATATTCATATACTAAAACTCCAGAAGCCGTTCGTTCTAGTGATACAGCATCAGCATCACAAACCGCTGAATTTATAAGAAAGGTTCATTAAAGTTAAAATTTTTTAAATAAATAGCAATTAATTAAAACAGGATTCTTGTTGTTATTGATATATTTTATTTAACTATAATGCAGTTTGTCAAGACTCATCCCAAGTTTTTAAAAAATCCCATGTATGTTACTGGAATATCTTATTCGGGGATTGTTATTCCAATAATTACCGAGGAGTTATATAAAGGTATAACATTTTATTATTGACGTTACAAGTAGAATGATATAGTTAATCTTTTTATATCTTTTAAAGGTAATGATGAAGGACTAGAGCCCATTGTGAACATTCAAGTAAGTATATAGTATATGTGATAAGTGATTAAATTTAAATAAGGCTTTGGTTATAAATGTTTATCTATGAATACCATAGGGATACATGGGTGGAAACCCATTGACAAACAAAACCGGTGATATAAATTCTAGACTTGAATATGCTTATCGTATGGCACTTATATCTGAAGAATTATATGAGGTAATATAAATTAGTTAACATTCCATTATGTTTCCACATGAATTTCTATAATGTAATGCAACTAATAAAAGTAGTTCACTATATGAACAAACAGTCTACCAAAAAGGATTGCAATGGAGATTATGCAGAAGCTGACTCTAACAATTTGCAATGCATGTTGGATATCAATGAAGTCAATAAAGTAAGCTTAGTTCATTTACCTTCCATGTTTTTTTTATGTTTTATACACTTTTTTTTTTCTCGTTTCAAAGTGTCGTCTCGATGAAACCTTTCTCCATAAATGAAGTCTAACCATAAACACGTCAACACTCAATGGGAAAACCTCTTTCCCGTACTTTCTGTATAAGGTTGTTATTTATGCATTAAGTAAATATGAAGCACCCATCTTTATACTATTAGGCAAAATCGACATTTACTCATATTTAGATGATTCATTTAGTCTAAAATGAAAGTCTTTGATTATATAGCACTTATGCTTTTCCATGTTAATTAGCGTGTGGGAGACATCAATATTCAACAAATTTTGGATCCCGATTGTGATGCCGTAACCAATTTGGTCCGAGGTGGAAACCCAGTCACAAAGGAAAATAGAAGACTTCTAAGGGGCAATCCTGTAAATTTGCGTCCGGCACAATCCATGCTCACGGATACCTTTTGTCGAGTAATTCTCTCCCTTCTTTTCTCATATCTTTCATCATGCAATAATACATTTGTGAATTTATATAAATGGTATAATTTTTTTTGACAGGGTGACAATTATAACTATGCAACCCTTTGGGCCAATGATGAAAATGTTATGAAAGCACTCAACGTACGCGAGGTAAAGTAAATAAAAAAACATAAAAATATCGTCACGTTACTATTATAAGTCATGTATAAAAAAACATATCGAAGATTAAATTATATGATGGTGCTAATTAGGGAACGGTGGATGAATGGTTGTTATGTAATTTGGACATGAAATATAACTATGGAAAACCCTCAATGCCATTGTATGAGTTCAATGTCCAGAATAGTGTTGTCTATCACGAAAAGCTAAGTAAAAGAAACTGTCGAGCTTTGATTTTCAGGTATTATATTTTATTTTATTTTTACATTTTTTGGTTGTTAATTAACTTGCATGTTTGGTAACATACACTAATAATATCATTTTTTTTTTGAAACAGTGGAGATCATGACATGATGGTTCCACATGTTGGGACACGTAACTGGATAAATTCTCTTAATTTAACAATTACAGATAGTAATTGGGATGCATGGTATGTTAATGGTCAAGATGCAGGATACAAAACCACGTATGCTCGTGATAACTATACTTTAGTATTTGCAACTGTAAAGGTACGTACAACATGTTATATATATATGGAAATTTTGTTATATATAAACGTGCTGAGACTAGTTTGCGATTTTGTTCTTGTGTAGGGAGCAGGACACACAGCTCCAGAATTTAAGCCTAAAGAATGCTTTGAGATGGTTAAGAGATGGTTTGCTTACAGACCCATATAATAATCTAAATCATAGTTTAGTTATGCTTCTTCTGATCATTGTAATCATTTTTCTTTTCAATGAGGGAGGAGCTTGTGTTTTTAGAGGGGTATTTTCGTTGTGGTTAGGAAAAGGTTAAGGGGGTTTGGGTAAGGGATTAAGAATCGATATTTATTGTAGGTTAATTACTTTGAAATTGCAATAATGTAATTGATTATTTATTTCCTTTTGATGTATACCTAAATCCTTGCTGTAATGTGTTGGCCACTAATTAAACATTTTTCAAATGTTAGCCAAGTATGATTATGTGGGAATGAACAACCTTGAAACCCGGTCTATGACAATGACATGAGAACAAACACAATGACTTTTGTAGCACAATACAATCTCAAAAATTGAATATAAAAATTGGTAGAACCTTGAAACCTCGTATATGTTATGTTGTACACATATTAAGGCATATTTTTGTTAGGGCGTTCAAGAAATATCAAGAAGTTAATTTGTTAAACTAATTTTTTAGAACAACTAAAAGATTTTATTGAAAAAATTAGCAAAAAAACTACACTAACTAAATAAATACATCAAAGAAAAAGAGATTCGGGTTCTGCATCTAACCCGTCCACATCATTTTTTATTTTTTTCACCTATTACAAACCAAAAATAAGACCGAGTCATTATCTTGTGGAATAACTCTCTTTTTTTGTTTAACTCTACCAATCAAACAATTATTTCTATTTGCACATACCACCTACCAAATGGTAAGACAAGTCGCTCTAAGAACGTATTTAATCAATTGAGAAAATATCATTGTAGCCCAATACAACATTTGGTTTAAAGGGTCCTTTTTTTTGCTTTCTAAGGATACAAAGTATGGTTGTACCGGTTAATTTGGGGTGTTTACCTAATTTAGTAGGTTGCCATTGTCACGTAAGATACCAAGTCGGATTAAAATGTCCAGCGAAGCCAACACAAGCCTTGTTAGCATTACTTGGGCATAAGAGTGATGGTGGTCTTTATGTATGTAAAGGGAAACATGTAAGGATTATAAAAAAGAAAACCCTAAAGTTCCTAACCTATTTTCGGAAAAAATCTACCGACAACTTCTCGAATAAGCGCAATCCACTATCGCGGCTCCACCACCACCTCCATCTCCCGATTCCATATACTCTCGAGAATGTCTCAACCTTGACGATCTTCACCCGATCCTCTATGATTAATGAGAAAAGATTGCAGCTACCCAACACGAGGTGGAGAGAATCAAAGAAGTGATGGGGTGTTGTAACATCCCGTTTAAAATAGAATAATTAAATAATAAATCCAGAACACCGAGAAGTAATTATTATTATTATTTTATATTATTATTGTCCAAAATCAATTAGTAATTAGTGGGGTGTTGGTTTCGGGAAGCCAAATGACAAGAATTGAATCTCCGGGGGTTAAAGGATAATTTCGGGATTTATTTTGGAAAGGATTTCAGAAGCCGGGGTGTGTTTAGTAAAATATTGGACTTGTTATGAAATGATTTTGAAGACAGGGGCTGCTTGGTAACTATTAGGACTTAAATTGAAATAATTATCGGAGCAAGGGTTTAAAGGGTAAATTAAGGATTTGTTTTGAAAGAAAATAGAGGAGGGGGGACTATTTCGGTCATTATGGGGAGAAGTTTGAAGGAGCCGAGTATTTAACTGTTTTATAGCTCGTCCAAAACCCTAACCCTAATAACCTGATGCAGTCGCCACCCTTATACATCCCTCTCATCTTCAACCGCCACCACCACCTTCCATGGACGCCGACGAAGCTTGCTGCCATGATGTTGAAGACAGAGCTGCCGATGGGGACTCGAGCAGGTGCCTCTCCGGTGTTGATGTTGCTCACGAGTTGCCTGCTGCCTTGCCTTGAAGCGCCAACCCTAGCCTCCGGTGACGATGTGAGCGATCGGAAGAACTGCCATGAACGACGCCGCCGACGACGAAGAACCGCTAGTTGGCACATCACGTTACGGAGGCCGGAGGAGCAACACGTGGCTGTCATGGTTGTTGTTCAAGGTTGAAGAAGCATAAACCTCTCTCCTATCCTCTCTGTTCTGTTCGCTACTACGTCGCCGCCACCGCTCCCTAGTGGCAGAAGAGTTGTTGCCGCCGCTCCGGCCGCCGCTGCCGCCTCGAGGACAACCATGGCGGGTGTGTATGCTGTTGTATTGTGTTAATCTGGTATGTATGTTTGTCGTGGGTAGTGTTCGTGTGGCCGGACTTCATGAGAAAAGCCACCACCACCACCGTGAGGTGGTGGCTGTCACCCTCTACCACCGCCTACCACCACAAGGTGGTTGTGTGTATGTTTAGCTTAGTCTGTGTGTGTGTGTGTATGTTATTTGAGATTTGCATTGTAAAACTGTAATAGGGTAGGAATAATCAAAGAAAGCTCAAAAACCACCGCCGTAGGGTGGTGCCTACCGCCTCCTGCCGCCGTGTTGGGTGGCGGTGTGCCTTGTTGTGTTTTGATTTGTTTGGGATGCTTAGACGAATGGACTAAAACCATAATCGCCACCGTGAGCCACCGTTGACCACCACTACCCGAGGTGGTAGTGGGTGGTTCCCGACTAACGAAACGCTAATGGGCCTAATGAAAACCCTAATGGGCCTAATGAAACCCTAATGGGCCCAATAAAGCCCTAATTGACCTAAAAGCCCAACCATTTGACTAATGGACTAGTATGTGGGTTGGAATCCCTAATTAGGGTTTGGAAAACCCTAATGTCATGAAACCCTAATTTTGGGGATTGATTGGGACACGCACGGGAATTATTTAATAAACTTAAAATATTAATTAACAATCATTGGCAAATTAACCTAAGGCAATATTGGACTTAATGGATTAAGTCCTTAATGGGTTAAGTAAGAAACACTTAACCCAAATCGTCATTTCATGTGAAAACCCTAATTTCACTTGGGCCACGAGTCGGGCCTTTCTATTGGACTTTGGTGATTGGGTTATTGATGGGCCATCCAAAAACAAGCATATGGATTAGAATATTTAGATGGGCTTTAGGATAAGGCCCATGTGAAGGACTTGGGCCCAATTTGGAAAATTATGCCATAGGTGGGCCATAAGTGGGCCTTGATGATTATGTGATATTGGGCCATGGGAATACCAAGAGTTTGGACTAGGATAATTGGATGGGCCTTAAGAAAAGACCATGTAGAGGTCTGGGCCTAATTTGGAAAATTGGGCCATATGTTGGGCTTTGGCCCATTACTTGACTTTTGGGCCTTTGGAGTGTGAGTTGGACCTTGGGCTTGAAACCTAATTATTAATTGGGTATTGTTTGATGTTGACAGTTTGGGAATTTGTCAACCAGCAGTTGGAGTTTTATCTACGAGACTTCAGCGGTCCCAGGTGAGTTATCCTCACTATATCAACAGGGTCTAAGGCGCCAATGCCGACCCTTTTCGGATTTGTATCCGGGTTATTGTATGTTATGCTTATTGAGTTACATCCTGGTAATTACGATGGTGATATGCTTAGTGACCTGGTTAGGTCGATATCCTGGTATATAGGATGATGCTATGTTTAGTGACCTGGTTAGGTCGGTATCCTGGTATATAGGATGATGCTATGTTTAGTGAACTGGTTAGGTCGGTATCCTGGTATATAGGATGATGCTATGTTAGTGACCGGTTAGGTCTGTATCCTGGTTATAGGATGTTGCTATGATTGATCTGTTAGATCGGTTTGACTGTTATATATATGCTAGCGTATGATATGTTTTGTGCACATGTTTGTTGGATTGGGGAATGGGTTGAGGCAGGTCCTGCTTCGTGCTATAGGCCAAGATACCCACGGCCGTCCGGATAGACTACAGACCCAGGAGGGTATGTCAGTCAGACCGAAGGCCCGACGAGCGGTCCGGATAGGCTGTAGGCCTTGCGAGGCGGTCCAGACGTGCCGAAGGCTCGTAGAGCAGTCCAGATAGACTGAAGGCCTGCGAGACGGTCCAGTCAGGCTGAAGGCTCATTATGCATTTTGTTTGTTGTTTTCTTATATGTTTATATGATATGGTTATATCTGTATGGCGTTGGTATTTTGGAGGGTAACTCACTAAGCCTTCGAGCTTACATTTTCGATTATTGTTTCAGGTATTCTGATGATCGCGGGAAGGCGAAGGCGTGATCGTGCACCTCCTTACATTTTCATGATTGATTCTGGGGATACTCTGATGTTTAAATTATTTTAAAAGTAAACTGTAATAACTTAATGGTTTTAAATGTTTTAAAAAGTTTTAAATTGACTTGAATTTTATGGGTGTTACAGGTGTGATTACGTGATTTCTAGGGTGGATGTGTTAAACATTCAACACAAGTTTTAGTAATATGAAAAGAAATTCTAGGTTGTTGTTCTGTTGGTGGCGAGGCTCATTGTGTTTCAGTTTTTTACAATGGTGGTGTTGATCCACTACATAATGAAGAAGTATGGGGAAGTGTTCGTCTGATAGATGATATATATATATATATATATATATATATATATATATATATATATATATATATATATATATATAGTGGGATAGTAAATATGAGGTTGTTATATATTCAAACTTACGTGTGGAACCATCAAAACGACATAGTTTACTTGAACATAACAAAATATTTCCCTTTTATATACCCACCTTTAATTATATATACATATATATCGTCAACGACGTTCCAATGTATTTTTAGCAACAAAATAGGATCTTTATTTAACATTGTTGTTTATAAAATAATTTCGCAGCAGAAGGCATAGAGAAAAACATATTAGTGAAAAAGTTTTGAAGTAAATGGTTCCAAATTCCAATTGGATTGTTCATTGGTTTTTTATCACTTGAAATAATATTCAATTTCATAATAAACGATTCCTTGATAATGGTGTAAACCAAAATACTGTATGAATGTTAAGATTTCGGTCTTAAATAAACTAAAGAAATCAATCCATCCTTTTTATTAAACGAATCCTCGATGTTGCCTTCACAAAGAAATTAATGACCTCTTTCTTAAATAAATTGATCAAAATGAACATTGAAGAAATTAATCTCTGTTTCTAAACATTGAACACGTTGATTTAATAAAATTAAGGTAAAACTACTCTAAACTTAAAATGAGAAAATCAAGGTTTTCAAGGAATTAAAGATCAATAGTTATATTTT